CCAGGCAGGGATTGAACCCCAGTCTACAGTGTAGAAGGCAGAGGTGTTAGCCACTACACTAAACCACCACACTACACCATGCTTCTTTTTAGGGATGCACCAATGTGTGAATTTATTATATTTCATGTACTTGCAGTACTGTACAAAAGTCAGGGACCACCCGTCACTTATTTGTTTATTTCCAAAAACCACCATTAAGGACAAGTTCAATCATTTTTCAGGAGATATTTCTGAGAAGATTAGATAAAGATAAATCCACTTGCATAAGGAAGGAGAAAGTCAAAGGAAATGGAAAAACAGGAGAAGTTTCCAAGAGAAAATCAAGCTCCACTCTTGTTTCAGATTTGCGAAAATCCTGAGGATTTTCTGTCCATCCTTCCACTATAAGAAGACACTTCAGCACTATGGGTCTGAAAGTGTGTTACTGTCAAAAACTCTTACTGAGAAATGAAAATAAACAAATAGAATAAGAAAAGCTGCTGATGTTCTCAAAAAAATGGACTGACCACAGTGTCCAGACCTCAACAACGCTGATATTTGTTTGGGATTGCTTGGATTGTGAGGAGCAGAAGATGCAACCAACGTCTAAGCTTGAACTTTGGAGGTGTGGAAAATATTCCTGCAGATTTCTTAGAAAAACTGGACATAAGTCTGCTGAAAAGAATGTAAGTTGTAATAAGGACAAAGATCATTTGGAAAAACAGCTTAAATTGTTGAGGCTTGAGTAATTTCTCGTTAGATATATGTTTTCTGCTTTTTTCCTGATACTCATAAATGAATAACTTGTACTTAAATCCATTTTGACTGGAAAAGAAATAAATAAAGGGTCGTCTCTGACTTTTGCTCAGTATTGTATCTGCTGATGCTGATTCAAAAGCATTTATAAAATACAGAAATTTGGACTCCATTCATCTGAATTAGCATTTCTATAGGGTTACAAGTGCAGTAAAACTGAGAAAATGCAGATAATTTAGCAGAGAAGCTCAGCATCGGATAAACGTTCTGCTCTACCGGAGTGCAATAAATAAACATCAGATGTTGGTTTGAAATAACAGTCAATCTGAACATCTGTTCAATGGTGATATTTAAGCAATTATGTACTGATACTCATATGCTTCCCATATCATTGTACAGTCCTGCTTTTCTTTTCCAAAAGCTTTTTTTCAATATGGTAATTTTACAGTGCTTTGTATAAAATGATAAATAAATGGTGAAATTGCCATTCTTATTGCATGGTCCTTGTGGGGAATTAAGACTTCTTGTGTGCAGACCCAGACTGATTCATTTTGTACTCATGAAAAACAGGTGCATGGGTCGATTTCCTCCCTCGTTATTTGAATTTATTGAGTTTAAAAAGGCAGATGTACAATATCAGGTAGACATATCGAGGGCATGGATGATAGAGTGAGCAGGCAAGTGAAGATAAGAGAGAGAGAGATCGAGAGGAGGGGAGATCTAGGGGGTTGCACTGCCTCATTTTCATTGGCTAGTCATTACGGCATTCTCCCTGGAGGCTCCCACCCCCCCCCGCCACTCACTCGCTCTCGCTCGTTCGCTCTCTCTCTCTCTCACTCTCTCCCTCCCTCCCTCTCTCGGTTTTGCGTGCTCTGTTTCTCCACATGCCCTCTCCTGCCCGTGTACCCATACTGAGCAACACAGCATCCATTAGCATTTAGCATTAGCAATAACACATTTCTCAGCCATGTCCACTGTCCACTCGTCGGCTCAGCCTGTTTGCGGAGATGTCCTGATGCCCCTCCTCTCTTCGCCTCTTCCTCCTCCTCTTCCTCCTCCTCCCCCCTCTCCACCAGCCTGCTGCCTCTTCTAGCATCGACAGTGTTTCCGTTCGTGCTCTCTCTCTCGCGCGCACGCTCTCTCTCTCTCGCTCTGTACTGTCTTATACTCGTCAGCTCTTTCCACCGTCTTCTCTGAGCTGCAAAATGGAGCAGGGCGGGCGTCGCAGCTAAGCGTGAGCCAGGCCTCGACTCCACTGGCTCCGAAGAGAGTCAGTAGGGACATCCAGCCACTCTGGACCAGGCCCGCATCCCACTGTCTGCGCTTTTGGATGGACCTTTTTGATCAGATGCCTCTGGGTTGGTGCCTCTGTAATCTGCATGATTTCTCTGGCTCCAGCTGGATCCTGTAAGGCAGAGGCTGGCGGCTGGATGCTGGAGGGGATCCTACCCTCGAGGACTTGGGATTAGGAGTGTAACTAGCCTACAGGAGCCTCAGCACCTCCAAGTGTGTTTCACTTTCTTTTCCCGGCGTGAGTCACTGCCTGATGAGCCGTGAAAGCAGGACAAGGTCCTCACCCAGCCGTGTCATCCCTGACAGGCTTCTGAACTACATCCATTAGCTTTATCCCTCTCTTCAGTGCTTTTCTTCTCCTTGCGTTTACCAGCCCATTTTTCCTTGAGATCAGGGTTGACTTCGGCACTCCAGGCGAAGTAAAGGAGTAGTATCTACTTGCCACACCTGTCGTGGACTTGTCATGGTTCTATGATTCTATGATATTTTCCCCATCCAGCCTCTTGGTCAGTTCTTGCTACATTCCTCATGCATTAAGTCCTTGGTACAGGATCCATGTAGAGGTGTCTGGTTCTGATCAGAAGTAAAGCATGGAAGACGTGTTGCCACTTAGCTGTCTCGCCGCAACCACGCGCCTGTCCCTCTGTCTGTTGCCAGGCAACACATTGCTAATTTGAACATTGGGGAAGGAGGTGGCCTTTTATTGAGCATACTAGGAAGGGGCTTCTGAAGCTGAAGCTTTAGTTCCTCGCTATGTTAAACAGGACTATAAGAGACTGATGCAAGTGCATTACTCAGAAGTGAGTTTAGCCATGAACATGTAGATGTTACCATGTGAGAACTGACCATAGGCGTGGCCTCAAGGAGCGATGAAGCCTTCCATTGGTACCCTTTGGAGCTAGCATATATCTGACATCCATGACTTTTGTTAATTAAGAGATTTGTTCTTTGTTTTATCACATGGAGCCCATCATTCCTAGTCTCAGGATGGCTGTGTGACCTATCTTGTCTTTGCTGCACCTCTCTGGGCACGTGAACGTTGAAATCGCTCATTTTCAAGAAATTACGTGTCGCCTCCGGACTTCATCGTGGCTGACCCTAAGCCAACCCCTGAGCCTCCCTGGGAGGATGATGCTGGGGACTCTGGGAATACTCAGGAGAGCCCTCTGCTGCCCAACCCAGAGAGGGAGCTACCCTTGTCCCCGCCACTCTCTCCCATCCCTCCAGCGGTGCGGGCACTGGAAGAGGGTGGGTCAGCAGGGGAGGAGAGGGCTGCTCAAGGGCCGGACTACACCGAACGGGTCATGACCCTGCTGGGCATGGGCCACCGGCTCTTTGTACCACGGCTGCTGGCGGTGAGGGACAGCTAATGCTGAAGGCTGTGTGGTGTCTTTTGCCACAAAGCAGAAGTGCCCAGCTCTGGTCCTGGAGAGTTTTGTTTAGGGCACTTAGGGCTCCTGCAGTTATAAAAGCAAAGGAGGGGAGGCTGCTGAAATTAATTTAGGATGAAGTGGATTTAAATATAGTTTCTAGGACTGTCTTTATCAGTTATGTTAGTGATTTAGTGATCTACTTGTTATATTTTAGTCAGAGTCTTTTGGTCATACAATCAAAATAAACCTTAACAATAACAAACAATGCAGAGTATTTTAAATAAATTCCAAAATACTTCAATGATAAAAGATAAACCGAGAAGCCTTCAAAAATACTTTATTAAAATAGAGAAAAAAATTGGTGGATTGAAAATATACATGGATGTGTATAAATGGATGTGTCCACCAGGCTCTGTTTCTCGTACTGTAACAGAGACCAGTTGGACAGTTTAATGCTTTATCATCATGCATATTGGCAACCAGAAGATACATTTTAATTGATTGATTTTAATCAAGTCAACATGTTTATTAGATTAGTTATGATATGAGTTTAGTTCCAACTCATATGCTCTTGCAGGACTTGATTAACTTGCCCTGTTGTGTCAGATTAGGGTTGAGACTAAACTGTTGGATGGCAGATCTCCGGTTGCGCCAGTTCTATGTACGTTTAAACATAGGCTAGTTATAAATGTGAGGTAAATTCAGGATTGTAAATTGCTAAATCAGAACGGGTTGCACACCAAGCAGTTACTGAATATGTGCAGCTTCCCCTAAGCAGTTGTAAGTGTTGGGGAAACCAATGGAAATCATATCGATAGCACCAAGAAAGCAAAGACATGACCTAATCATGACGCTGGTTTAGATGTTCAGCTCCAAACATGAAGTTTGCTTACCATAGCTTCAGTTCAAATGTACTAATAGGATAGTTTAAACCCAACTAGTGTTAACTAAAGACTGAGTGAAGACTTTACGCACAAAGGTCGCTACAAACTTGCACAAAACTGATGCAGCCCAGTCCAGTTCTGTTGTTAGACATGAGTGCTAAAAAACTTGCCCAGCTTTGGCCCTGAAGATTTAGCACAGCTAACATTAAGACCTTGATTGGCTGGATTAACTGTGCTAGTTTCCAGATGTACCTAAATTCTTTTGGGCAGTGGATCTCCAGTAGCAGAGTGGGGCTTTTTTGTCATGAGGTAGTTTCAGTAGATTTAAAGTTTTGAGACATGTTCATGGACGCAGTACTGTCGTTAACATTTTAAATGACAGGAAAGTGAAGGGAAATTTTTCTTGTGATGCTTGGTGGAATGCACATGGTGTCCATAAGGTGGTGCTGTGTTTTTGTTTTTATATAATATAATTTTGTGAAGCTTTGTTACTGAGTGCCCAGGCTGTTTAAATTGGCATATTTGCATTTACCAAAAATTAGGTAAAGTTTTTAAAAGGATAAACAGTGCTAGCCAAGTCAGATGAATATCACGCTTCATCAAAACATGTGATGTTCTGAAATGGCATTTCAAAATATTGGTCAGTGTAGATTTATTTGCCTTGTTTTTGTTGCTGTTTCACTTAAATGAGGCTTCTCTGTCTCTCTGAACACAGACATCCAAGGAGGACCTGCTCCAGGCTGACTTTGAGGGCGCGCTGAAGTTTTTCCGGGTTCAGCTCCCCAAACGCTACAGGTCGGCGGAAAACGCTCGCAGACTCATGGAGCAGGCCTGCAACATCAAGGTAGGCGCTGCCTTCTAATTCTCCATGAAACATTCTGCTTGTCGCAGCAGACAGTAAGTCACTCAAGGACACTGACCCCATCTTAAATCCCCTTATCTAAATTATGAAGCCCCGGTAGTTTGTTGTCAGCAGTTGTGGGTATAATATTTTCTAGCCCTACCACTGTGCCATGACACTTTGTAATTCTCAGACATTTTATTATTCGCTGCATGCTATCGAGATCTCAGCCGTGGGTGTAGATTAGCGGTGTTCTGAATGGCCTCCATGACTAAAATCGTTTGCAAGGATTAGTGCCGCTTGGGGCGGTGAACTGTGGGAGAATAATAAAGTGCACTAGCAGTCTCCAACACCTTCTAAAAAATGTCCTTCAGAATTGCAACCCTGAAGAATTTCATTTTGTAAGAGCACTTAACTAATCCTCCGCCTTAGCATAGGTGTTGTAATATGTCAGCTTGCTTGTTATTACAGGTCTGCCTGAACAAAGCTTATTGTCGAACAAAGCCCAACCCCTCCATGCAGTTTAGTTCTGTCGCTAACATTATTCACCTGGCTCAATTATTTAAATGTTCCTGAAGACTTTAATTCAGTTGATTGGGAGTGGCAGATTAGGGCTGGAAGTAAGATGTGGGTTTTGGATTGAGGTAAATTTAAGCAATTAAAAACCTAAAGTTTACAAGAGATTTATGGAGCCCTGAAGCTAGGGTTGGCCTGAATAATGATTTACAAGCTTTGAACACTTATTAGTATTTCCGAACGCATAACCAAATACTCATTCTCGAAACTATCCTTAAAAACATTTATATTTCATAATCAAGTATAATTTTGTTCATTACTGCCGTTTAAAATACGTCCAGTAGGTGGCGACAGTGTGCTGTAATGTTTTAATCAATTTTTCAGTCACACCTGTTTTACTAGACACAGCTTCATTTTGCATTGGTGAGTGAAGTCAAGTCAAATCACACACTCTCAATTTTTCTCTACAACAGTGTTCTGAACTATATATTTAAAATAATAACTTACTAAAATGTGATCACCTTGTTGACCTGCAGCTCCTGTGCTGTACTAAGTGTGTGGAGGATACTGTCCTCTAATACCAGCAGAGCTAAAAACCTGTGATTGTCACTGTAAACAGATCTGCTGTTTGTGCTGTTGAGTTTTAAACCTGCTGTGAAGTTGTTTAGAAAAGAACAGGAAAATAGCTGAAAGCAGGTACTTGACCGAGTTGAGTCTGGTTCACTTATGCTGCTCTTACATGACACTGATCCGTTCTGAAATTAAACCAGTTATAATATATAAGATTTTTTTTACATTTTTCATACACATTTGTATGCCAAAGTAGTTAATGCACACTTCCTCTTAATTACAGTTACAATTTTGGGGGGAAAAAAATAAGAAAATGTCTGTACTTTGTGCAAAAGTTATAGAACATTTTATTTTACAGTATGTTAAATTAGAATATTTGAAATTTAGCGTTGCTGATTAAATGTATTTTTGGCTACAGTTTTTGTGGCTTTAAAACAGATTCTGTTTCTGAATATTAAATAGAAAACTAAAAAGAGAATAGCAAATAGAGAATACTTGAGCATTGAATTTCACGCCAGCCCTGCCTGAGACACATTTAAAGGAAGTGTTCAAACAAAAATGAAACAGTTAAAAATGTTGCTATAACAGTAAATAAAGTGGTATAGCCACCAAATAGCGTTGTGTCAGTAATGACATGCTAACTGGTCCCTGCTAACTTCGGATCATCATTAGTCATATTAGCATGTTTTGTCAAGCTATTCCTTTAAATGTAAACCACATAACTGATGCAGTGTGGCGTCTTTCTGTGGGAACAGTTTTTCAAATAAGCCTAGTAATAGCGTCAGCATGCTTATTTTTCCTTGATGCATTTTGTTACATTGCGATGCTGAAACAGTCATTTTAAAACAGTGTGAGATCCACAGTGTATTAAAACTCGCTTGTGATGTCATACCTTGTAACGCTTGCAGTGTGTGAGAGCTGAGTTCTGTTCATAAGCCCTGATCAGCCTGAGCAAGCACATGGTGCTTTGAAGAATGACACAGTGTGCTCTGAGGTTACTACTGAAGGTGTCGTGTACAGTGTCTGGTTACAGAACTCACTCGTCTGAGGTTCATTGGTTATTTGAGTTTGTGATGTCGGGCTGCATCTTAAGAGATTGCGTCATAAATGTCAGACAATAATATTTTAACCTGTACATTTTTGTTGCTTTTCTCTTCATGGAAATGATGCAGGTGCAAACTGTCACACATAGCAGTTCAGCGTGACATAAGATGTATGACAGCCTTACAACTCTATAACAGTAATGTTTGCTAATGTAACTTAAAAAGAGGTTTTAGTTGTTCTGTTCATTATGAAATATTCGTAAAACCAACACTGCTGTTTTCATCTCTGCTATGATGAGACGTGTAGTAGGCAATACGGCCAGAAATATCATGGTACACTGTGAAATAAAGGTTCTCTGCAGGTACTTTTTTCGTTCATCCAGTTTTGGACCTTAAATAAGTTTTTCCCAGTGGAAAAGGACATATTTGTACCTTTCCATAACCAAATAATTTTAAAACAGAGCAATAAAATAAAAAGCCTGGAGACGAGACGGGGTGTGTGGAGTCAATACACCAAAAATAGAATTTCATTAGATCATGGTACAATTATGCTCCCTGACTAAAGGTACTGAGATGTACCCATGAGGGTACCAACTCAGTGACAAGAGGGGGACTGCCCCAGTTTCATACCTTTATTTCTGAGAGTGTATAATTAAAAGTTCTGATAGTGTGGGTATATATCATGGTGTAGTTTATTTATTTATTTATTTATTTATTTATTTATTAAAAACATTTTATATGTTTAAGAAAAAAATATTTTTGTTGACAGCAGCTTATTATTCTAGAATGCTCCTTTACTTTTAATAAGATTCATATTTAACAACTGAAGTAAATTTAAAATCATTTTATGACATAAAATAGTAAAAACTAAAACTGAACAATAAATAAATAAACCTATTGCACCTACGCGTAAGTAGAGACATGCACGGGTACTCGAGTACCTTTAAAGGGGCCAGTATCCGTGTACTAAAGTATCGTCTTCACTAGAAATTCTCTAACGGAAGTCTGAAGGTTGGCAGCACTGAGAGAGGAAATGGCAGAAGACGTAGTCATTAACTGATTATTTGGAAACATTAATCAATTATTGAAAATAATTGTTTTAGCCCTACTGTGTAAGCTCCAGAAAAAGATTAGCAGTGGCAGCAGTAGCCTTCATTCCCACCCCACCCATCTTTCCTCTCCCTCTCTCTCTCCCTCTCTCTCTCTCCCTCTCTCTCTCTCCCTCTCTCTCTGTCTCCGTTCCTCTATCTCAGTTTGTCGTTTTCTTTTTCACTCTCTCATATCCTCAGTGTCACTATCTGCAGGATATCCTGTGCCCTGAGTTGCTCAACACTTTCTGCAGCAGTAGGACTGTAATTGTTATGTGGAAATGACTTTATAAGCAGACAGTAAGGAGAACTTCAGTGTTTGTAAAATTTCTTTGATGTCCAGATCATTAGTCCTATAGATGGTTCCCTGAAACAGATGTATGCGTTTTGGTTTTGAGCCCTTATTTTTCAAGCGTCTGAGAACATCTGTGCATTTAACCCTGTTCATTGCTGTGTAAAAGGCATAAACAGATCCTAAATCAGCATTTTTTTCTCTGAAAAATGTGGTTCCTAATAGTTCATGGTGCTCCTAATGCCATAAGGGCCCATGTCATTAAAAAAATCCTCATCTTTTTGGAAACAATTCCATATATGGAAACTAAGCTACAAAAACAACTCATTTTGAATTCCTTTTTCTGTGATGTTAAAAAACCAGTGCATTTATATAAGTCTGTCTGTTCGGCTTACAACAGTTTGGCTCCGCCCATTCATGCTGAAGTTATGAGGGGTGTTGCAGCCTGGGCTGCTTTCTGAATAAGACACAATACAGGACGGCTAATCAGAACAGAGGTCAATAATAGTCTTAAAGGCACAGTAAAAAAAAAAAAAAGCACAGCCGGTTTAATTCTAAGGCATAAGAAGAGGTTGGATAATGGTTGTATAAAATTGAATTCTGACCATTTTTGGTAAATAAACACAAAAACGTCATGAGTAGAGCTCAGAGGGAAAAACTCAAGATGAGAAAAATGCAGGATATGGGCTCTTTAAAGGAATTGCCCTTGTATTCGGTGGTGAATCAGTTGCGTCAGTGCTGGAATTTTGGAATCAGTTCTAATAATATTCACTGCAGTATTCATTCATGATGCACTGAGTCATTTCTTAAGCAGTCATAATCTAATCAAATTGTGATGTCAGACATTTACTACTCTAACTGCCAAGCCGTAGGACCCTGTGCAGGGGGAGAGTGAGAGGACAGTAGCTGGGGGACTGAGCACCTGCACAAAGTGGTGTAAACAGGTGCATTGATCTGCTTGCTCAGAGTGAGTCAGCAGAGTCAGGCTGAGTTTCACTTCAGATTCTTTCGCTCCTGCTGATGAATATTATGAATTTTTGTGAATTGTTCTTTTTCCATCACACCTTTTGTAGCACTCTTTATTCTGTCGTTCACCTGAGCATGGACTTCGACTTCTCCAAGACACACCTGTACACATTGTTTTAAGATCAGCTTGCTCTCTCTCTCTCTCTCTCTCTCTCTCTCTCTCTCTCTCTCTTCCTCTCTTCCTCCTTTCCTTTCCCCTCTCTTTGTTCTTATCCCTCTTTTTCTTTATTACTCTCTCTCAGCTCATTCTCTCTCTGTCCCTTTCTTTCACTTTTTCTCTCTCCTTCACTCACTCGCCTGGTACTCTCTCACCCTCTCTCACATTCTGTCTCCCACCCTCTCTTTCTGTCACTCCTTCTCTTCTTTTTCTCTTTCACTCCCTCCTTCCCTCCCTCCGTCCTTCCCTCTCTCTCCCTTTCTCTGTCTCTCTCTTTAAAGAGTGTTCTAAAGAGGTGTGTCGCTTTTTCT